TTATTTCCTGACCAAGACTAGCTTCAGTGCTGTGCATGCAGAAGGTACCTATAAATAATGCAGAGGTGCTGGGCAGTGGTGGCGCACGCCTTTAATCCCAGCACTCAGGAGGCAGAGGCAGGCGGAACTCTGTGAGTTCCAGGCAAGCCTGGTCTATAGAGTGAGTCCAGGACAGGCTCCAGAGCCACAGGGAAACCCTAATTGGGAAAAATGAAGAAAAACAATGCAAAGACTTGCAGGAGTGAGTGACCCAGACACAAGTGCCTGAGCATATGTGTGAAGTCCGGGACTTGGTGCCCACGGCTCAGAAGCCCAAACCATAGCCCTAGACTACAACTGCCAGAGTCCAAATATGTGGCGCTATGTTCCACATCTGTCTAACTTGGGGCAGGGGATTCAGGTTTTCAGTTGAGGGTCAGGTTGTCAGGAGACCTCTTTTGGAGCCTCGTGCAAAAGAGGAAAGGCACGGTGTGCAGTGAGCTCTCTGCAAGGCTACAGTGGGCCTGCCCTCTGTGACAATGTGAGGATCTCCTAGCCTGCCATGGGAAGTGGCAGCATGGACCACACACCTCGGACAGCAGAAGCAGAACTCCACAGATGGGCTGGACTCCACAGTGTCACCTCTGGTTAAACACAAGTCGTGGGCATTTCTGTCATTATTTTCTTCATTTTCTTGCTTGCTCTTTCTGTCAGCACTACATCTGATGTACAAGTTTTTATGAACTATTAGTACCAGATGGTATTCAACCCAGTTCACCCCACCCCCAAACAGAGAGCACAAAAGGAAAAAAATCTCATTATAAAAGGGTAACTTTTAAAATGTTGAATGCCAGAATCACCTGGAAGTGCTGGAATCTTTTCTTTTCGGTGCTCATTCTAGCACAAACACCATTCGTGCCCTTTGCTGAGAGACCTGCCTGACAGCTGCATGCAGCCACCAACTCCTCCCAGGGACAGTGGGCTTACCTTGAGCCAGCCCAGGGAATGGAGGTGATTTTCCCTTCTCACAAGTGTCCTGCAAGCACACTTGTGTAGTACTTGAGCTTTAGATAAGCCTGCCTGTCTCAGTGGTGTCATTTGAGTTTCCTGTTCTGTAAGACTGTCAGAACTAAATGACATCACACACAACTAGTAAGTGAAATGACACTAGGTGAAGCATCACCCATAGGAGGACATACACATACATACACACACGGCTGTTGGGCTACTTGTACTCTGCCTTGTTTGTTTCTTGTTTTGTTTTGGGGGACACGGTCTTGGTATATAAGCTAGGGTGCCCTTCAGTTTACAGCAGTCCTCCCACGTGTTACCACACCCAGCTTTTTGACAATTTAAGTTGCAACCTAAATCGAGGCATAGTGGTGCAGGCCTTTCATCCTAGCACTAGGAAGACAGAGGCAGATCTCTGAGTTCCAAGCCAGCCTGCACTGCATGGTAAGATCTTGTTCCCCTGCTTGCCCCCATAATAAATAAACAACAATCTAAGCTCATAGTCATCTGTGATAACTGAGGACAGGCAAGTAAAAAGCCAGATGTTGTGGCACTGGGAAAGAAGAAACAAGCAGATCCTTGGGACTTGGTGGCCACCAACTACCCCAACTCGTGAGAGACCTGTTTCAAAACAAAGTAGACCCTGAGAAACAATAGTCAGGGTTTACCACTGCCTCCACTCATACATGTACACATATGTACACATGCATACACACACGAAATAAGGACAATGTCAGTTTTCATTGTTTTCTAGAACCTTAAATTATTTTTCTTCATTAATCTAACTAAAGTTTCAAATCATGAATGGTTGCTAATATTTCTTTTAGTTTGGCCGTACATGACTAAAACTTAAAGCAGATGGGATCTATTCACATATATAACACATATGAACATCAGTGTGATATCCATACAGCTAACTAGCAAGAACTTGAAGTAACCATGTAGACACAATCTGCCTTGCATCAGACTTGCTTTATAACAGGTGACAGAACATGTCACCACTTCTCTTTAAGACTGTCTTCTGTGAGTGGGGAGCTGTCATCTTTAAATCATTGTCTATAAGTGGCATTGAGATCTTGAACTATCCAATGCTGCCAACTTGGAAGGCACTAGTCATTTGTATGTTGACTGGAGGTAGAACATGAAACTCTGCCCAGTCCCACATGTTTGTTCCCTATATTTGCCCTTGCCTGAGTCACTGTGTTCCAAGCCTTGCTGTAAAGTTGGGGAGAGGAAGGTAGGTGAAGGGTGGACCTAACCTGTCAGTTTGGGCCTCACCCTATGAGTTCACTGGGAATCAGTCAGGATGCTCATTGTTTGGAAGGATCATATTTTTAAAATGGGATGGAAGATATGCCTCTCAAATAAGGCAACAGATAATGAGGAAAACATTACACATAGCTCACTGTACAGGCAGCTCCTATGGCACTTTAACTGTTTCTCCATTTTTTTGTTAAGAGAAGCTTTCCTTGAGAAGAGCCTTTAAACACACAGGAGGCTATATTAATTATGAAGCTGTTGGCCTTGCTTGTCTCTTACTGGCTAGCTCTGCTTTAAGTAATTACCCCATAATTGTTAATCTAAGTATGTCTCTTACCGGAGAATAGTTCTGGGCTCCTACCCCCATGGCGGTTACATGTTGACTCTCGTGTTTCTCCTTCCCAGAATCCTCCTGGACTCCTAGCCCCACCTATCTAGATTCCTATTGGCCAGACAGCGCTTTATTAGCATAAGCATAAGACTTCCCCAACAATTGTTCTATTTATTTCCCAGGTAATTTTGTTTTTCTTTTGCTACCAAACAAGGCTGTATTCCAGCTACTGTAGAGGCTGAGGTGAGGAGAGCTCTCAAGAAGTCATGAGGTAGCCTGGACTACACAATGCAGTTTTGTCTCAATCAACCAACAGATCTAATTTCCTTTTTCTTTCTTGCCTTTTTTTAGAGATCTTTTAAAAATGCATTTATTTTGCATGTGTGCATGCACACATGTGCCGTGGTGCATGTGTGGAAGTCAGTTTTTTTTCCTTCTTCTATGTGGGTCCCAGGTATCAAGCCCAGGGCACCAGGCAAAAGAGTCTTCACTTGCTGAGCCACCTTGCTAACAGAATTCCCCTTCTCTGTCTGGAGCCTGTGTTTGTTTTTTGCTTGTTTGTTTGTTTGTTTGTTTGTTTGTTTTGGTAGAGACAGAAAGTTGCTTCTGTGGTCCAGGCTGACTGGCTCCAAGCTTACCACCTTCCTCAGCCTACAAATGCTGGGATCACAGGCATACACCACCACGGCCAGCTTCAAAACCTGATTTGAAGCTTTGCGAGAGGCTCTTCACGCCTCTGTAAAATGAAGTGGGGGGCTAGAGAGCTGGCTCAGTGATCAATAAAATTTGTTGCTCTTGTAGACAACCTAGGTTCATGTCTATAAAAATAAGTATTTTATTGCCAGAGATATGAAGGCCTTAGGGCTGCTGACCTCCCCTCTGAATGGAGCTTAAGGGTTGTATTTGGCTTAAGAAGACTTGAACAGGCAGCCCTGTTTGGTTATGAGAGGCCAGTCCAGCAGGGCTCCTCCAAACAGGGTCAGGAATGAGTACCTGCCAGGTGATATAGGCTGAGATCCCCCAGCCCTCCTGTGTATACCCAAAAAGACAGAGTCACTACACTGTTAATTTTAGGGCGTGCCCCAGCTTCTACCATGGGTGTGCAAACTTGGGCTCCATTTTATTTGTTTGTTTGGGGGTTTTTGTTTTGTTTTGTCTGAGACATGGTCTCTTTATGTAACCCTCTGGCTATCCTGGAACTCACTCTGAAGTTCATAGAGGTCCTACTGCCTCTGCCTTCTGAGTGTGAGATTAAAAGTGTGTGCCACCACTCTCAGCCTCATTTTTGCTCTTTTTCTTTTCTTGTTCTCCTTTTCTTGTGTTATTTTGAGACAGGGCTTCTTTGTATGACAGCCCTAACTGTCCTGGAACCCACTCTGTAGACCAGGCTGGCCTTAAACTCACAGAGACCCATCTGCCTCCCGAGTGATTCAAGGCATGAGCCACCACTGCTTGGCTTATTTTTGTTGTTCTTAACCAGTTGAAGATTACATCAGCCGTGATGTGAAAATGCACAGTGTACTTGTGTGTGTTGGGGATGGGGAAGGTTAGAGCTAGTGTTGGGACTCATGCCTATCATCCTAGCACTTAGGAGGTTGAGACAGGAAGATTGCTGTAAGTTTAAGGCCAACTTGAGCTACAGAGTAAATTCCAGGCCAGTTTGGACTACAGTATAAGACCCTGTCTCCAGAAACCAATAATAAAATCCCCAACTCCTCCCAATTTACTTGGAAAAGGGTGTATAAGTTAATTGTCTTCTAGCTTTTTCTGTGTTTCACCACATTTAGCGCAGCTGCTAAATTGCTCCAATCTCTCAAGCTACAACTACCTGAAAGTAGACATCTCTGCCCTGTTCCCTGGTGGTGGTGTCCCTCTCTGGCAGGGGTTCTCAACCTTCCTAATGCTGTGACCCTTTAACACCTCATGTTGTGGTGATCCCCCAATGATAAAATTATTTTTGTTGCTACTTTATAACTGTAGTTTTGCTACTGTTATGAATCATAATGTAAATATCTGGTATGTGACCCTTGTGAAAGGGTTGTTCAACCTCACAGGGGTTGTGACCCACAAGTTAAGAACCACTGCTGTACTGATTTAGACAGATTCTCATTCCTCTGCCTAGTGACATGGTGAGTATCCCTTACAAGATATTTGCTTGGGTGGGAAAGCTGCTGGATGCCTTGGGGGGAAGCAGTAGGAAAAGGAACAGACTCTGCACTCCATGCCACTGGTGATGTGGCATGCTTGTTTTTACTCAAAAGCAGCCTCCGTGTCACAGAACTGGTATGCCAGCAAAGGCCAGTCCCTGTGGCACCAAGTAGTGACCTAATTTCTGTCCCCCACATCCCTTCCCCAGTAACAGGTAGCACTGTTCCCTATAGGGTCTCTAAAACCTGGTCCTGTCCTGTCTCTGTTTCAGATGCCATGGCAGAATGTGGAACATGTTGGTGACCAGAGCCCTTATGTCACTTCTGTTATTCTTCACATTAAGCAGAATGTCCCCATCATTCGTGACAACCTGGCTTCCACACGAAAATACTTCACACAGTTCTGCATTAAATTTGCAAAGTAAGTCCTGAGTTGCTTCTTGATGCACTTTCTGTTTTTATCTCCCAGGATAAGTGAGCACAAGAATTGTGCCATTCACTAACCACACTGATGGTGGACCCCAGGATTGCTTTCCAGGTATATCTCTGAGTTGGAGAGATCTGTGATGGTTCTGATATCATACTCAGTGTAGTTATCTTACTGCTATATTTAACCACCCAGCATGCTCACAATCCATGTGTCCCATCTTCTAGCTGGGCTCATTCTGGGTCCTACAAGAAAACCAATGTTCTTCTGTACTCCAAAGGGCCATAATGGTAAAAGCAAATGGGCCACTTCAGGTCATGTGCATGCTTGCAGCAGCAGTCGTCAGCCGTGGCAAGCAGGAACGATTTGGGGTATCTTGCTGTTCCAAATTTTGTACATGAAAGCACTCCTTGCTTGGGCTTTTATTTTTCAGTAAGTTCATGTGAGCATTTTATCCCTGACTAGATTATAAAGTTCTCAAGAGTTGGTCAGTTGTGCCTTTGTGCCTTTACTCCCTCCTCCTCCATAGGACTTGTGATTGTAGCTGTCAGAAATCACCCACTTGTGGGTTTCTTTACATTTGGGCAAAGTACTACAAATTAGGATCAGCAAGTCGTCGAGCTCCAATGCTGAAGTGGATGGAGCAAGCACCACATTGCCTGCCTTCTGGTCATGTCCTTGTGTGTGGCCATTTCTGCCTTGAATTTTGAAGCAAAGAAGTAGTTTGGTTCTTTGCCAGTCAACATCTGGCTCCGGCATTGTTTCCCAAGAGCCCAGGCAGTGATGAGGGCCAGTGTCTCCTCTGACCAATTATCAGACGCACAGTTTGGCAAGTTGCTCCGGGAAGGTCAGTGCTGTCCAAGCTACCGTATTTGGATTGTTCTCGTCCAGGTCCCAGCTGGTGACTCAGGCATCTGAGTTTCTGTTTCCCCCCAGATCTCTCCCAGATTGTACTCAATTAGATTCTCCCCATCTGACATAAATAAACCCCAAGAAACAATAGTGACAGAGTAGCTGTAGAGTTAACTTTAGTTTCAACCTCATCAGGAAGGATTGGGCTGACTCCCCAGGGAGCATTTATGTTTGCAGGCCACAGATGGACCAGGAGCTGACATTCCCTTCTCTCTCTGGGTACTCATTAATGTGTGCTAACAGCACTGCTGATAAATCACATGATGTGACATTCCCTGCAGCCACTGCTACAAGTGTCTCTGTAAAAGTCTACTGTGACTCAAAATCTCCATTGTGGGCACCCAGGGGTCCGACTGAGCTAAGGTTAAAGTGAATAAGGAGTCCATTGCTCAGCCCCTCCAAGTATCAACCTCACATTCTCTCATTGCCTTTTAATTTTATTACTAAGTTCATTCTGAGTGATCTAGGAATAGGGTGTCCATCCCCCACATCTGGAAAAGTTTAACCGAAGACCTAGAAAGTTTTGTGCTTTAACTCTTGGTACCTTCCCATCCTTGCAGAATCTTAGCCCAGAGCAGTAGCCATCATTTCCATCTTGTTGGGCCTTGGCAATGGCACATCACATTGCTGGGATTTCTTCTCCAAATATGTGTGCCTGGGTTATTCTCATGTTTATCCTGTTCACTCAACATGGACTAGTCAGGGCAAGGCCAAGGGCACAGCCACAACATTCTCCAGTGTGAAGTAGCTTCCATTACAAGCTGTATGTACAAGTGTGATGAGTCCAAGTTTAACCTTACTTGTTTGGCTCAAGTTAAATGCCAGAGCCCCTTCCAGACAGCCTCTTGTTCACTCCCTCTAGATTAGTAGGCCACTCCTGTATGTGACCTCTTCCATTGCTTCTTTTCCCGCTCCACACTTGCTAGTCCCTCTGGCTGCATTGCGTTTCCTAATGGCTTACCAAGGATGACGTCTCCCACCCACTAAACTAGTATATATCGATTCCATGAAACTTTCCCAGAAGTCCTTAGCTATCAATGTGATTACAGTGTGCAGGAGAAGATATGGCGCGATTGAAGGAGAAGAATGCAGACCTGGATGAACCATGGAAGAGGGAGGGGACAGATGCTAGCCAGCCTTGGTGGGAACCTTAACCCTTCCATCCTTCCTCCGTGATCCTGGGCCCTGGAGCAGCTCCTGCTCAACATACTCTGGATCTTGCCCAGTTATGCACATGTCTGCCTTCCACAGCTTTGGAACTAGAGCAGCACAGCACAGCCTCCCTGACTCAGGCACTAATGTTTTGGATTTTCTCTGCTCTTCATCCTAAGCAGCATTACCAGCCCATCTTGCCTAAGCTGGTGCTCAGTGCTCATCAGACTTTTAGGAAATTGTGTAATTTTTGTTTCTTGGCAAGAGAATTACTGCCTTAACTATTAATTTCTTGTTTTGCTTTAAGGCACCCTAACTGCCCATGTGTCTTTAGTTTTTGCCATTGTCCAGATTTTTTCAGTTATTGGTACTCAAATGGACTTGAATGGCAAGGTGGATTTTTTTTTTTGGTTTTGTTTTGGTTTGGGTTTTGTTTTTGCTAGTTTTTGAGACAAGGTTGCTCTATGTAGCTCTGGATGTCCTAGAACTCATTGTGTAGACCAGGCTGACTTTGAACTCAAAAGGGATCTGCCGGCCTCTGTTTCCTGAGTGCTAGGGTTAAGGCGTGTGCTATCACACCTGGCACAAAATGGATTTTATAAATTTTGTGTAACCTCAAGCCTAGAGAAGTTAGGACTTGAGAGTGGTTGGTTTAGGCTGAAGAGATGGCTTAGTAGTTACTGGCAGTGCTGCTGCTGCTGCTGCCGAGGTCCCAGGGTCAGCACTCATGGAATAGCTCATATCAGCCTGTAACTCCAGCTCCAAGAGAGCCAATGTCCTCTCTTCTAGCCTGTGTGGCACCTGCACACGTGGTTGCATGCACACACACAGACAAATACGCTAAAATAAAAATATATAAACCTTTTTTTAAAACAAGCAATTGCTTTAGGGTTTCAGTCGTTTTATGAAGGCCTGGAATATTCTATCTTTAAGACTGGCGGCATCCTCAGAATGATGATAGAATGACAAGTATAGGTATTTTATCTATCTCAGCAGCACCCTAAGCAGGAAGAGGGAGTCTCACAGCCACCTTGCCCTAAGGTTCTTCCCTCCAGGTGATTAAACTGGAATAGAGCAATTCCCCCTCTTAGAACCTCAGTCACCAGTAGAACTAACTGAAGCTCAATAGTATTGGCCTCTGTAGGACCAGAGTGTGGCTCACTGGTAGGGTTCTTATGACCTGGGTCCATCCCCAGCACCACAAACAAAAATAATTCATCTCTCTAGCTTCAGATGGGATGAGCTTTCCCCAGAATCCCAAGACTGCTCTTCCCTAAGCAAAACTGGAGCTAAAGTTAGAAGGAAATAGTAGGTGATGCATGGGGCATAGGGAATGGTAGTCTCTACCTGGATTCTCAGTTTTCTCATGAAAGGGAATAGAGCCTTAAAATTTTCCTGCCACTTGCTGCCTTTAATCCCAGCACTCCTGAGGCAGAGGCAGGTGGATATCCATGAGTTTGAGGCCAGCCTGGTCTACAGAGCAAGTTCCAGGGCTACACAGAGAAACTCTGTCTTGCAAAACCAAAAATAAATAGATAAAAAAGTTTCTGCAGCTCTTTACTGAAAGAATAATAAGCATAACTTGTCACTTTTATGTCCACAGCTCATTCATCCCCAAATTCATCACCCATCTCTTCAAATGCAAGCCAATCAGCATGGTGGGAGCAGAGCAGGTAAGGCGAGCTTCATGTGGGCCTTTGTCATGTGTGGCCTCACCTTCAGCCTTTGTCATGGATCCAACTCATGGGCTCGGGTAAATCCAGTCTGAAGAGACCGTGACTGGCCACTCTTTGCTTCTTTGTATTGATTTTTGAGACAGGTTCTCATTTTGTAGCTCAGACTGGACTCAGCTCAGGTAGATAATCACAACCTCAGTCAAGTGTGTGGAAGGTCACAAAACAAAGTTAGGGAAAACTGTCTTAGGGGCATGAGAGTGAAGGCTTCAGATTTCCTGAGGGCTGGTACTGGAGGGACAAGGGGCAGTGTTCTAAGACCAGTAGAGGCTCTTAGTGTGGCTGGGCAGAGGCCACCTGAGGGACCCAGCAGGAAGAGCCTGAGCTCACCTCCCCAGGAAGCTCCTGTGATGAGCTCATCTCTCCTCAGCTGAATTCTCCGCTGGAGCATAATGGCACATGCCTTTAAACCCAGCACTTAGGACGCTAAAACAGTAGGATTCTGAACTTAAGGCCAATGTACAATATATAGTGAGACACCATCCTAAGCAAACAAAGACTTAGTTCATGTCATCTGAACCCTGAGTTATATACTATAGCAAAGTCACTTCTTTTCATCTCCCACCTAAGTTCAGGGAACACTGATTAATTTTGAAAATAAAACAGGAATTGGAGAGATCTCTCTGTGTTGCACATTGACCAAAAGAAACTTGGGAAAGAAAAGGTGTATTTGACTTACAGGTTGATTACCAAGGGAAGCCAAGGCAGGAATTCAAGGCAGAAATTGAGGCAGAGACCATGGAGAAAGCTGCTTATTGGCTTGGTCTCCATGGCTTGCTCATCCTGCTCTCTTATATAACCCAGGATCACCAGTCAAGGAATGGCATCACCCACAACAGTCTGCACCTTCTCACATCAATCATTAATCAATAAAGTTCCCCCACAAACTTGTCCAAAGTCCAGTCTGATGGAGGCAGTACCTCAGTTGAAGTTCCCTAATCCCAGGTAACTCTACTTTGTATCATGCTAACAAAAACTAATTAGCACACCATGCAAGGATATGGATCTGAGTTTGACCTCTATAAAAGCCACCCACATAAAAAGTCAAGAATAAGGGGATAGAGAGATGACACTCAACAGTTAAGATCATTTCCTACTCTTGCAAAAAACTTTGATTCTGCTCTCAGAGCCCTTACTGGTCAATTTACAACCATTTATAACTCCAGTTCCAGGGGGATCTCATGCCCTCTTCTGTCCTCCACAGGCATTGCATATGCATGGCATACATACAGATAAGCAGATACACACACACACACACACACACACACACACACACACGCACACGCACGCATGCACATGCACACACACAGGGTATATATTATTCACAATAAATCAAAAGCAACTCATATTCATCAAAATGGTCTTCTCTAGACCTCTATCTGTGAGCGCTTAGACAACATATAAGAAGATTATGCCATTCGTTTCCATAGATCTTGTTCTCTACCGTATGAGGCAATGCAGTAGAGATTCAACTCTTTCCCAGCTCAGTTTGCTGTCCTCATGGCTCCTTGGGTGTGTTGACATCACTGCCCCCCAGCCCCTGCTCCCCTCGATAAGATGGTTAGTTAGCATTTACTGAAGCACCTTGCAGTCACTAATGAAGTGTCAAAGGCAGATAGGAACAGCTGTGAATAGCAATGTCTCTTGAATCTAGGTGCAATATGATTGTATCCTCTCTGTTAGCAAGTGCAGAGCAGTGTGAGCACTCATGTCTTGAGCTATGGAATGGCATGGGAGGAGGCTGAATCCTGTGCCTGCAATACTGCATCTGTTTGTAGACAAGCTACTTTACAGGACCGCCATTTCCTTGTCTCTGAAATAGGAAAGCTTGGTGCCACCTCACAAAATAGCTGTTAGAATTAAACGAAACAGAGAGTTATGTGTGGTGGAATACACCAGTAATCCCAGCACTCAGGAAGCTGAAGTAGGAGGATTGTAAGTTTGAGGCCAGCCTGGGCTTCACAGCTAGACATTGTCTCAAAATAAAATAAAATAAAATGAAAGTCAGTGCCCATAAGTAAAATGCTTGTCTGGCACATAGCCAGCCTTCATTAAATGCCAGCCCCCACTCACGGTAAGCTTCCTGAGACCTGGACATGACCTTATTTCTGTTTCACTGCTCATCTTCCACATGCGGCCTGCACAAAGACTTCTAGTCAGTGCTTGCCCTCGGCTGTCTGCCTGACCCGCTCTAGCTGGAGTCAAAAATGTTGTCTTGGAAAACTCCCTGGGAGGTTATACGACTCAGACACCAGCTGGGCCTGACTGTAGCAGCCAGTGTTCTAAAATCCTGACTCTGGCATGTCCAGGGTGCAGATCTCATTCTCTCCGTCGGAAGTGGCAGCGATGCCCTCACAGCCAGCTCCAGTTTCATTAGTGCATGCTTACCAGAGCTCACTCTGGTCACCTCATTCCACTGTGCCATCTGAGAGGATGTGCAGTGATTGAGATCTGTGTCTGGGAGCTGCCTTAAGAGTTCTCAGTTACATTTCTGTCTACAGACTTGACCAAGCCCCTGGAATCCAAAGCTGACTCATGGGAACACAGTTCTGGGTTTTCGTAGCCTTGCTCAGGCCTCAAAGGCTGGCATAATGACTAACAGCCATGAGAGTTTTGATGTTGTCACATAAATCCTATATCATGACTGTTTTCCTCAAATTTTCTCTTTTATAAAACAATGTTAGCTGGTGGAGAGTAGGGGCACACCTGCCACCCTAGCATTCAGTAAGCAGAGGCAGGAGAATTGTGAATTCAAGGCCAGTGTGTGCTATGTAGTAAGATCCTGTCTCAAATAACAGAACAGAATGGAACATTAGCAGGTCAGCTCAGACCCCAGACTTGTATCTAAGGAACAGGATCCATTTGGTCAGTGTTCACATCTGCTTTTAGATGTGAAGGAAGAGCCCATCTTCTAGAACTAAAGTTTACTTCTCAGACCCCATGCAAAGGCGAGTAATAGGTTATCCATAGATCCAGCCTTGTGGAGGCCTCAAGGGCACAAGGGCAGTGTGGTCCTTGAATGGTTCCCATGTATAGTTTAGGTTCGTGTGGGTAACGTTAGGCCTGGCATCTGGACTCTGAAATCCAAGCTATGCTAGCTAGAGGCCTGTTCACTTAGGCAGCAGGGTTCCAAGGATCAAGAAGTTAGCAAAGGGGATGGAGAGATGTCCCAACAGGTGAGAGCAGTGACCACTTGAATGGAGGACTCAAGTTCAGTTCACAACCACCTGTTATTCTAGCTTCATGACTCTGATGAGCAGCTCTTCTGGTCTCTGTGGGCTGGCTGGCTGGCTGGCTCGCTCGCTCTCTCTCTCTCTCTCTCTCTCTCTCTCTCACACACACACACACACACACACACACACACACACACACACACAATGATATAATAAAATCAGTTTTTAAATGGAAGTTAATAGAGAGTTGCTTATAGGTACAAACACATTCTGACACACCCACACCCTGCCTTGCGTCATGGCGCTAACCCAAGTTTTTACCAAAGCTGTAGAATTCAAAGCTACGGCTATGCCTCATCTCAGCTGCGCCTCTTCTGCCAAAAGGTGCTCGGTGCTGAGTTGAGGTTAGGCTTGAATACTGATGTGAAAAATAAAAAGGAGGCCCTTTCTGCTCTTTGTGATTAGTACATGCAGTGAGTTATTTATCTCCGGGCCCCAGGGTCCTCTTGAGCATTTGCAAGGGCACATGGAATTGAACCATTCCTGGATTGTAATGCTCCTTGCTAGTTTGTGATTTTCAGAGAACCTTGTGGGATTTGCAGGGTCATTAATTAGTCTTACAACTGAGGTCATCTATGACTGAACACACAGCAGAAATAAAATCCATTCGCCTAAACTTACCCTAGAGAGAACAGCACATTGTGCTATTGGAAAAAGACTCACAGCCCAGTCCTCGATCTGCTGTTGCTGGCCCCTTGTTCACAAACAGTGCCTGCCTGCTCTGTGCTCAGGGTCCTATTTAAACAAGAGTACTTGCCCAGGCACTCTCCAGGTACCTTCCAGACCTTTCCTATTGCTCCAAACTTCATTTTTTGTCAAGTTGCTTTTTTTCCTTCTTACATTTTCTTCCTTCATTTATTTGGTTTGGTTTTGTTACAGTGCTGTATTGTGTAATCCAGGGCTGTCTACAAGTTCACAAACCCTGCTGGGGGGGGGGCAGCGGCACGCACGCAAGGGGCAGGCATTTAATCCCAGGCAGACACAGGCGGATCTCTGTGAGATAGAGGCCAGACTGGTCTACAGAGTGAGTTCCAGGACAGCCAGGGTTACACAGAGAAACCTTGTCTTGAAAAAAAACTAACAGACAAACAAAAAACTTCACAAATCTCCTGGCTCGGCCTGCTGGATGACGAGATACTAAGCAAGCACTACCACTATACCCAGTTTGCTTTGTGTTGTCTTTATATATGGTATCAACAGGGCAGGAAGATGGCTTAATGCTAAAATACATGCTTTGTATATACAAGATGCTGGGTTCAATCCCTAGCACCATAAAAAGATTATTTCTGGATATGTGCCATAGGAATATTTTGAAATTGCACATAACATAAAATGTGCCAAGTAGCCATCTTCCAGTGTGCAGCTCACTGGCATTAAGTACAGCCATTGCTGAGAAGCTGCCATGGCCACCATTTCTGAAGCAAACCTCTGCATCCATCTAAGTATTGCTCCCCACTGCAGCCCTCCCCGCGGTCACATGTTAATGTCTGTCGCTGAATTTGACTGTTCTTCAAATATCAAATAAGTGGGCATTTGTCTTTTATGTCTGACTTCTCTGACCTAGCCTAATGTCATCAGAAATTCCTTCCTTTTAAGGTTCAATAATATCTTATTATATGTGTTAAGAATACTACATTTTTATCACATTGACTTTTAGACTCTTCTAGTTCAAAAACATCTGGATAAAAATGTTTAAAGCAATTGGGG